CTCCACTGTCTAAAAAGCCCCTTCGGTACCCCCCCAAGCATCTTCCATCGATAGAGATTTAGATTAAGTGAATGCTGGAAGTGATCGATCTGAAAATTGGGTCTACTTCAGCGGGTTTTGTAAGTTGAATCAAATCGATTTAGCCAACTGGAAGATAAGCTACTGGAGGATAACTGTAAACCTATGGGGATTACTTACATAATTTTGATCGAGGCAACCATTTTTAACGGTGGGATTACTGAAGCAATGAATGTGATTTAGGAATTTTTTATATGAATGTGATTTAGGAATTTTAATCGAGGCCACCATCTTCAACCCGATATGAATGTGATTTAAGATTTTTGAAGTGATTTGGCTATGAAGGAGATAGGGATTCTTGGTCGTAAATGAAGGAGGAGGGGTGAAGTTTGTAGAGAGAGAGAGAGAGAGAGAGAGGTGGGTCTTCTTATTTTTCTTTTAATTAAAATGAATAAATAATTATTAAATTAGAAAAAAAAATGAATTTAAAAATGGAAAATAAATACCCCAATGGCATTACAGTCATTTCACTATTCACATGGACCAAAAACGCAACGAAACTAGCTCAAAATGACCACCAATCCAAAAAAGTTATGGTTTGAACTAAAACCCTAAAAAAATACATACCACAGGATCATTTTTACAGTTTTGTCTAAATAATGGGTTAATGGGATAAAGGACCCACATAACTCATTAAACTAAACTCTCGATATATGTTTGTAAGTTGTAAATAAAGGTAAAAATGTCAAAACAAATTTTAAATTGAAGAATCAAATAGACAAGTGAAAATCGTTTTTATTTTGTAACATTGTTTTCGAATTTGGGTTTGGTTACTTTTTATTATTATAATATATGAATTAAAAACATCACTTTATAGAAGAAAATATAATAATTAAAACTAAAACAATAATTTATTATTGTGTCAAATGACAACATATTTTCAAATTTAGAAAAATACAAGTAATATTTTTAACTAACAACTCCAACACAATATTTGTAAAGTATAAAATAGCGATTAAACATTGATAAAATAAAACAATTGCTAAATGGGTATCTCTGTGTGAATGTAACCACTTTGCATTGGGTCACTACAAAATGGGCCATTTTCCACAATGAGGCTGAGAAAGTGAGAAATCGCTGTGAAATGGGCCAATTTTTTAATATGTAAAATGGTCATTTGAGAAACTGAAAATCCTTATATTTATAATACGAAATTTGAACTTAAATTTAGGGTTGAAAGAGCTTTACATTATAATATCGTTGAAAATAATAATAATAAAAAATTGGCTTTTATGGGTAGGACATTTTGCATGGGCCATTGCGAAATGTGGAAACCCACAGTAAAAAAAGTCTTATATGATGTCGTTTCGAAGCATCTAAGGTCCTCTATTTAGGCTTCTTTGAAATTTGTGATTATTAAATAGAAAATGCTTACTTTTGCTTATTTCTTTATAAAAACGGTTATTTTGAAATATTTTTTCTTAAAAAAGGCATCATGTATAATTTCAAGCAGTGATTAGTTGATTACTAACCCACAAAAGTGAAATATTACGGATCAAAACGTTCTAAAAGATTACCTATTTAAAATAATGGTCAATCAATATTAATGCAAATAGCACGTAAAATGAATATATTTCGAATTTTCGGTCAACTTCTAATTTAGGAAATTATCTTGTCAAGGCTATCAACAAAGACCGGTTTCCAACAAGTCAAATTCAATTTTGAGAGACAAAGATTTCTTATTTAATATATAGAATGTGTATTTTTTAAATGAAAAAAAATAATAATAATAACTTTTATGTGAACATTGACCCATTTTTAATGCATGAATCATTCTAGACAACCTAACTTTACTCCTTATCCAATTGATGATGCAGCCGATAACACCTTTCAAAAAGATTTGATATTAACATTTTCACATATCTTATAAGCTAAACAGATAATTAAATGTCTAGAAAATATATTGTTACAAATAAAAATATGATTAATCACAGAATGGTCCATATGGTTTGCTTAACTTCACAGTTTCAATGCAATTTTCAAAAAGTTGATACAATGCGTACGTAATGTATGCTATTATAAGTAATGATGAGTTGTTGGTTTATTTAATTGTAGTAGTGAATTGACATTTTTTTAATATGATCTGGCAATCTATCTATCTCTTTTAATAAAAGGGTATAAATTTCTTCATTTTATCATTTTTTTTTATAGTTTTTAATTTCTTTTTTCCTACTATCTAAAAATGATATATGTTTTTTTCTATGATTTTATATTTAAATTTAACTTTCTTCTAAATCCTTAAAATTAACATTATTAATAGAGATTTGAAGTTCAAATGTTTGGTAATAAATTGCATGATCCTTGATAAAAAGAAATAATAAGTTATAAATAATCTCTAATTCCACTCATTTTGTTCATTTTTTTAGATTTTAATAAACACCCTTTTATAAATTTGTTTAAATATGTTTGTTACAATTGTTATCTATTTTATTTTAATTTATCAACCGTATATTATACAGGTTATAACTTAGTTATCAAATATAAAATAAAAGTTGGTTTTATGTTTGTGTCAAATGATAATAGATTGTTTCAAAAATGTTAATTTGGTCGTCAATTAGTTGCGTGAATTAACCAAAATTAGGTCATCACAATAACCGAAATAAGACATGAAATTTTGAAACAACAAACTCTAAAAGTGATCATTTCCAAATAAGACAACTATTACTTCCTTGGATTAAGACCTTACTTCATTGGCTAAGACATTCATATGTTGTTCTATTTCTCTTTTATTTGGCATCTCCATCTGCAAGACTATTAGTTATTGTAGATAAAATGAATTTAGAAGTAATATAAGAGCATAAGTCATGAAACATATTTATGATAGCCAATAACATGCATAATGGCGTATTAGTAATTTATCATTTCCTACTAGTACAAGATTTGTCCCTAATGTTCACAAATCACAACAAATTGGTCATTCCAAGGCTTAGTTACGTCTACTAAAGATACACATGTACTATGAGGCACCCTTTTTTATTTGGTCTACTAATGATAACTAGAAAGTTTAGTTTTTACTAAATATTACAGCTCTCAAAAAGGCAATTTGAAACAACTTTTCATCAAATCCTTCTTATTAATCCCTATAGTACTCCAATGCATAAATAATTTTCTTGAACCTACCATTTATTAGTTTGGAGTTGAATATATCACACATGATATATTCAAGAAAACATCGAAGTGTGATCTACATATTGCAAGTATAAGATATAATCTCACTCAACATTTATATCACCCACATTGTGAAATTCACTCATGTGGACCTCAATATCATCTACAAGATTTTGTCATCCATAATAAAGTCATTATACTACTTGACCCACCCTCACCTATGACCTAGATTGTGCTTGATGAGTCATCTCCATTCATATCTATTGCATCCAAGTGTTCTTCTACATATGCAATGTATTATGATGCTATGTTGATCTTATAAGCATCCTCAATGTTACCATGGTAAGTTACATGTTGTACCCCACAATCAAAAAAATGGATCAAGGCAACCCAATGCAACTTTATCAAAATTTAGGGGTCGTTTGATAGTTGCTGACTGGGTTAGAAGCTGACTGGGTTAGAAATGCTGATTGAGTCCATATCTGACTGAGTTTATGTTGTTTAATTATTTATTTGAATGGTTGTGCTGAATGAAAAAATAACCATATTACCCTTGTGTTATCTTTTGTGCTGGATAAAAAAAATTATAGAAACACAAATTATCATATAAAATCCAAATTAAACATACATCAATTTTGATTTCATACAAATAAATTTTAACAAATTCACAGCATATAACACTTTCTTATCTTAACAAATTTTGATTTCTTATCTTAACAAAATTCACAGCAAATAACACTTTCTTATCTTAACAAATTTCATACAACATAAATTTTGATTTCATAGAAATAAATTTTGATCTCATAAGTATATAACACTCTCTTGGGCATTTTGTCAAACACGTTGTGTGCACAACTTATCTCCTCCCTTCTCTAGCGGATTTTAGAGTGGCATTGCTCCAAAAATAGATTTACAAACAGATGTACATTCAAGACCATTTGAAACAAGACAATGGAATCAAATCAAGATTCTATATTTTTAAAACCAGTAGATTTCTGCACTTGGGTAAAGTCATAAAAAAAAATAAAAAATAAAAAATAAAAAATAAAAAAAAACGTTACCTGCAGTAGAGAGAATGGCGCAGGAGGTGCAGATTGAGGATGGCGCTGTGTAATAGTCGCCGGAGAAGCTGTTGGCGACGGAGGCGATCAGCAGCAGGTGTCGCTTTTGTGTAGGTTAACAGCGAAGGAAGCTGGAGGTGAGCAAGGGTACGCTTCTTATCTTATTTTCAGTCAGGAGTTTTTTTTTTTTTTTTTTTCTTACCGGGTAAGTGGATTGGCTGACCGAGGTTAATTGGAATGCTGACCGAATCAGCTATATTTTGTATTTATCAAACAGCTGACTGCTGACCGAATCAGCAGTCAGTACTGACCGGACCTAGTAAGTTTCAGTCAGGAATGTTTTTTTTGCTTACCAGGTAAGTGGATTGGTACAGTCAGGAATTTTTTTTTTGCTTACCAGGTAAGTGGATTGGCTGACCGAGATTAATTGGAATGCTGACCAAATCAGCTATATTTTGTATTTATCAAACAACTGACTGCTGACCGAGTCAGCAGTTAGTACTGACCGGACCCAGTAAGTTGAAATCAAACAGGCCCTTAGATCATCTTGCACCATTGGTATAGGTGTATAAACTATAAAGTAGTCTTATAATGTTAATGAATTATAACTTTTTATTTAGCCTTTGTTTAACCAAGATCAATTACATTCACAAATAACCAAAGACTATGAGTTGAATTTACGTATGAAAAATCATATGCAATGTATTATGATGCTATGAAATAAGTTTCCAAGATAACTTCTAAATGCACAAATATGAATTTTGAATGCTGCTTTTTGCTTCTGCTTATACCAATTACCAAATACCAATTACAACATTTCAAGTACATCATAAACCCCTCTTGCTATCAAAATTCACTTTACATGGAACACCAAACCAAACTCCCTAAAACCCCAATCATCAAGTCCTATAAAACTTCAATTTTTTTTCAAATGAAAAAACAAAAAACAAGAATCAAGAATCAAGATAGTCAACTCTACCGGTCAACTCAAGCAACTAACTCAAAAATTGATCAAATTATCAGTTACATGAGAGGACAACTTTCGCCTTTTATATCTCCCCCTTCCTATCAAATCAAAAAAGATACCGACTTTAGATGATTTACACTCAAATCCAATCCACCACTTTTGTAACACTTTATCATCATCAAGATTCAAGATTCAAGATTTAAGATTCAAGATTCAAGATTTGGGTATTTGTTTTTGTTGGTTTGAAAAAGGACTCGATGTTTGTTCAGTAGTTATTAGGCCAGTTGATTTGGGTAGGCTGAGGTGGTGGCTGTTGTTGCTGATACATGCTGGATGTGGGTCCCACCATATCAACACCTCCCGTCATTGTCTGAGGCTGGTGGAGGAGTGGGTGGAGGGATGTGGTGGTTACTGGTGGTGCAGGGTGGTGATAGATACTAGCAAATGTAGGCTGTGTTGGTGTATATGCAACTTGACCTCCTTGAGGAAGATTATAAAAAGAACCAGAAATGTCTCTTCCAGGAGCTGTAGCAATCCATACACCTGGATTTTCAGTCTACAAACAAAAAATATAACAACACATCATTTCCGGAATTACCCCTGGGTCAAATAAAGTCAAAGAAACTAACCTGTTGCCCTGTAACATAGACATTACTTTCCTTAAACTGGGGTCCACCAAGATCTTCATTAGAAGCCGAATTACCACCCTGGGTCGACCCAAAATGCCCATATCCTTGACCCGGATTTCCGGAATTACCCCCGGGCTTATATTGCTGACCTGGATATTTACCAGTTGCCACTGGTGGGCCTGGGTACATATTCCCACTTTGCCCTTGTTGTGGGAATCCACCATTACTCAAAAACTGATGAATAGCTGGAGGTGGAATGTAAAATGGTGAAAAATAGGGACCATATGGGATATAATTTGGAGGGTAATGTGGTAAATGTAACCCTGTTGGTTGTCTGAACACAGGCAGTGGTTGCTGAGTCACTGCTATTGAACTCTGCATAACTTGTGTTGACATTAACGAGTTCCCAACCTACAAATTCACATTTATAGCAACATATCAATTTGCCCTTTATAAAACCTGAAATATATATATATATATATATATATATATATATATATATATAAAGTATTTTATAAAATCTATAATGCAGACCTCTTGAGAAGATAAAACTGCAACATTTCCATTGTACTTAGGTGGGGCCCCTGGCCCTGGTGGATGAAAGGGTGACACCCGCCCATCATTATCAGGGGCAGAACGGTAAAAATGAGGGTAGTAGCTCGATGGATCAAACGGTTGTTGAACCTGTTTTTTATTAAATAAAAAAAATTATACATAAAAATATAAACTTTGTATAAAGTTTTCAAGATTATTGTCATTTTGTTAAATACTTACAACAAAACTTGGGACACGAGAAGGTTGGGATTCGGTGTTTTCAAAAGGTGCAATGTGGGTCCCGATTATTGGAGGCATGAAGCCAAAACTAACCAGTGGATATTGATGACCTGGCGGAGAAGGCTCTTGTTTGGGCTCGTGGGCCACACTTGATGACATGTCACCTTCGGTTGATAAGTTTTCAGATGGACGATCAGGATCATGATCATCTACATCATCAGCAGTTACAGTTACAACTGTATCTTGTTCATCTATATGTTCAGTGATTCCTTCAGAAGGGTTGGAAACAGGACACTTGTCACTCACAGGATCATTCAAAGAGACTGAGTTGAAATCAAAGCTTCCAAAACGAAACCCTAGTTTTTCAGCTTCAGGAACATGAAGGTGGTTTGGGATTATAACATGTTGAGTGTCCGGAATGTACGATTCCGATTCCGGTTCTGGTTCTGGTTCCTCTAGCTTGATCTCCTTTGGGTCCGGAATAGTGGATTCCGGTGTTAACAAAGAGACAGGTTCGACTGGAATAACGGGCACCGGAATGGAATCAGAGGTTTCAGGGTCTTGAACTTGAACAGGAATAGGATTTGTTGTTGGTGGTTTTGGTTTCCATTCCCGTTTGATTGTACCAACAGGAATCCGTGAATCCTGTGATGGCATAAGAATTGGATCTGAAGCAGATAAATGAGCATCAGGGACAGAAGTAGTTTTCTCAGAAACTGGAATATCAGGGGCAATATTGGAAGAACTTGAAACCATGGATTTCTCTTTATTCTTCTTATCATGAGTTGCAGGTATGATTACACCATCATTTGCACCTTGAAGGATTTCATTTTCCTTTCCAGAAACAGCATTCCTGTTGCTTCCTGCATCTAGATTTTTGAAAAACAAGAGTAAATGGATTGTTGTTTATCCATAAAAGCGAATAAAAATACTTCAGTGTGTGAATTACCATGAGAATTATGGCGTGATGAGTAGGCCCCACTTCCACGACCTCCTCTATTCCCCCTTCCCTGCATTCCAGGTTTCCATCTAGGCTCTGTAGATTCTTTGATGGGATTCTGTAAAACAGATTGTAGATTGAAAGTAAAAAACACAAATCGTAAAACAGTTCTTCAAGAACACAAAAGAAAAGGATTTATAAGGTTATTCAGATACGGAAAAAATGATCTTACCTCTTTCTTTCGGTCGCGTTTCCTCCTTACTTCATGAAATGGATCTGTGCAAAAATGAAGTAAAGTATAAACACATTAAACACCAATTCAGCTGTGGGGGGGAATCAGAAAATCAAAGAGAACTTCAAAAACGACTCTAACCCTAACGAAAAGCATACCACCAATTACAGGATAAATAAAAACGAATTTTTCAGCACCAATCAGATAAAATACACAATCAATAGCACTTGGAAAATCAAATCAACGAAAATGACAAACATGTAAAAGTCACAAAACGAGGGCAACATCATGGATCTCGTAGCGAAATCGAGAGAAGAAAGCCTACCCTGCAAAAGGAGCTTCTGGGTGGTCTCGTTTGGATCCATGGAACACTCTTTAAGCATTGCATATATCTCATCTTCACTATGATTACCCGTGATCTCCTTAATGTTCTGGATCGTCTTTCTTACGTTGTTTGGAATGGAAACCCTAACCCCACTATTCATCTTTCCTTATTTAACACGAACAGTAACAAAAGCTCTTCAATTTGTGTACCGATATATCAATAACTTTACATATAGATATGGAAAGGAAACGACCGAATAGAATGCTTAGACAGGAATCAAAGAAATGGGGAAGGAAGAAGATGATGAAGAAGAAGAAGAAGGGGGAAAGATAGAGACTTTGGTTAAGGGTTTTTGAATTGATCTAATTTTGTGTTTAGAGAGAGAAAATAGAGAGAGAGGGCGAGAGAGAAAGAGGGGGGAGAAGAGAGCAAAAGGAAGTGTGTTCTGCAGTGTAGGGCTTTTCACTGTGATTTTTTTCCTTCTTTCTTTTTTAGAATTATTTACAGAAATGAATTTTCACAATTAATCATTTTTGGTCCTCGTGTCTGTAGTTGTTACATTAAAGTCCTTTGGATTGAGTTTCGTAATTTATGTATTAGATACTTGACACGTTATCATATTATGTTTTCTATTAAAAATTCATCTATATTTTACTTAATCGAATTATGTAAGTTTAGACTTTAGAGCGAGAAAACAACAAGAGGTATTTTCCACATAGGGACCAAAAAGTAACTATTTAAATGCTTAGGGTTATTTTTGAGTGTTTAAATATAAAATACAACCATTATTTGTTTCTGAATTTGGATGGGGATATCATTTGCCATATGTTTTCCACCATCCTTGACTTTGAGTTTTTTGAGTCAATTATATAAATAGCCCCTCATGTATCTCGATCATCAATTTTCGTCCATGACTTCTGATTTTGGGTTGTAATAAAGATCTTTAAATAGTTTTATGTATTGTTACGTTACCTTTATACAAGTATAAAAGTCATGTCATATACGTGTTATTACATGTGTATCATAGTTGAGACTCGTAGGAGTATTTCATGCACCAATTATGCATAAATACCACACCTTTAGCTATGTATTTAGAAGTTAAAACTATGCATTTTTACTTAGGTGCTGTTTGTTTTTCTGAAGCCAAAATGTCTGCTGTCTGCGGACCACATCTGCAAGCCTCTGCAGCAGAAGAGGTGGACCAAACCTCTGCAGTCTGCAATAAGAAGTCTGTTTGTTTTTTAACATCTGCAGACTGCTGAAATGAACTGAATTTTAAATAAATTGATTTTACAAACTTAAAATGTTTTCTCAACACAAAATTTTAACAATAATAGTCGTACAACATTGGAAAAAAAATTCATCCATACACAAATCTAATTTCAAAAGGTATTGTAGCAAAAATTAATTTAACATCATGCATATTACAAACATTTCAGCATAAAAAAAACAATATATAATAACTATTTTCAGCAACATTATGCAATTTTCATAACTATTTTCATATTTTCAGCATTATGTTCATACTTTTATCATGAAAAAATTTGATTTTCAGGCGTATAATGACTATTTTCAGCAACATTATGCAATTTCCAACATTAATTTCATATTTCCAGCACTATTTTAATACTTTCACCAAGAAAAAAAAAATTTGATTTACAGCAATGTTATGGAAGTTCCAGCAAAATACATCCAAGAAACGCCATTTTCAGCAAGATTTAACAAGAATTTTAAGCAACAAGAAAAAATTTCAACATAACTTTGGGATTTCCAACATCCAACAAGAAATTTAACCAACAAGAAGCAATTTTCAGCAAAAATAAATAACGAATTTCACTAAATTAGATAGTTTTCCAGCAAGGTTAAGCAATAATTTCAAGTTAGAAGTAAAAAAAACGAAACAAAATGTGCAAACTTGTTCGTCTTCAGTGGAGATCGGAGAAAAGCAGTGGCGGCGGCCGACGGTCGTGGTTTGCGATCGGAGAAGTCTGCGGCGGTTCTGATCGGTGAAAAAGAATGGTGCTTTGTTGCTGGAGCGAGGCTAGGCTGCGTCGAGGGGGAAGCTTCGAGGGTGTGAAGTCGAAAGAAGATGGAGGCGCCGATAATAGAATAGAAGCGTGTTTTATTTTTTTAGGTTAAAAGTATTTTGCAGACCTTAGAAGTGGTTGGTCCATGTCTGTGTGGTGAAGACCTCGTGCAGACATTTTTAGATCTGCGCACTTCAAAAAAACAAACGCATTGCGAGGATGTATGTCTGCGCGTGGTCTGCGTGGCGCAGACAAAAGTGATTTCGCAGATCTTCAGAAAAAAAACAAACACCACCTTATTTTCGATTATTTCTAGCCTATAAGAGGAACGCTTTTATTTGCATACTTTATAATGTTTTTCAGGTGAAGATGAGGATGCGCTATGAAGGTATCAAGGGAGCCCCAAACAAAATTTAGAAGCAAATAAAACCGAACGAATAAGTAGAAAAATCAAGACGGACCAAAACAATGGTTTTCACATAGGGCGTGTGAAAATAGGCATAAAAATCACGCGGGGCGTGTAAAACCCAAAATCAGCAAAATTCAACATTCTACTTCTAGAGACTTTCCGATCATAACAACATACTTTCCTTCCACATTGGGTGTATGGAATCAGTGGCGGACCATAGTGGTTCCTCAGGGGTCCCGGGCCACTGCTTCGATGCCGGCACGTAGTGTAAAAAAAAATTAATGTTTTTTCTATTGGGTGCACCGGCTTAAAACACGAGTGACACTACTAATATAGATTTATTTGAAAAAAAAATAGTGTCACCCCTACGAAAATGTTCTACGTCCGCCACTGTATGAAATTAGCCTAAATCCACATAAGGTGTGTGGATCCTCATAACTGGTTTTTTGGCAGTTTTTCCTAATGACTTATTAAGGGATTTTTAGGGTTTTTTGACATTATCTCTCATTTTAGACGACTTGTAGGCAACTCTACCAGAAGTTCTTGCTAGGTATCATTTGGATATCATTTGAAAATAATTTATTTCATATTTCTAAGCAAGCTAAATTATCTAATTGCAAATTTTGTAATTGTTTTGTGAATTAGACTACGTAACAAGCATTAAATTGATTTCCATTAAAGGAATTTAGTGCAAGTCTTATTCACACACTCTTACACTTTCGAGCTTACGAGAAGTATTGGGCGTTGTTGGGAACATTCACATTAAACTTATGTAACACTTGTTTTCCATAATAGATCGGTTGAGGGTTTGGAAGGATTAAAGGTAAGGTTTTTAGGAAAAAACTTGTGTCATGACGTGATGAATATAGCATCACGGCGTGACATGCCAATTAGATGATCACGTTTTCGGGATGGCTGTCACGACGTGACGAAAGGTTTGTCACGATATGATAGCAGCTGTAGCCCAAGCCCATGATCTTTAGGGTTTCTTCCATATTTAAGCCCCTAAACTTAAGGTTTAGGTCATCCTCTTCAGCCTCCAACCGTTTTCAACGAAAACCTAGCCTCCATTAACGAGTTCTTGAGCTTTTGGTGGTGTTTGGTGTCTTGAAGGAGAAGGAATCATCCCTGGTTCATATATCTAGCTTGCAAATCTCATTATTATCTTCTAACACTTAATCTGGACCTTTGTGGATATTAAAGCTCCAAGCATTATGATTCTATGTTGCTAGATCTAGACGTTTATGCATTATTCTCCATGTTTAGACTAGTCGGAGTGTTGGGATTCCATAAAGTCGGCAAGTTTATGAATCCTTAGATTTCATTTGTGGTTATATGTGCTAGATCTGAAGTTTAGTAGAGTTTTGAGCTCATACATGAGGTTTTGACCTCTTTTTCATCATTTTGTGACCTGATTTGAGCTTAAAACTTGCATAGGGCATGCATGTCTCTAAAGCAGCAATTTTTATGTCTCATTGGGGTGTAATGAGGCCTTATAGAAGAGATAAGTGTGTGGCTTAATGGATTAAATTAAGTTGTTCAAAAACAACTCTAACGACATGACGATATGCTACCACGTCGTACGTTTGAAGTCCTCGCGACTATTTTTTCCGGATGTTCCCACGATGTGACCAAGAGTCTCCTACGTTGTGATGAGGGTAGAACGTTAACTTTTTTACCTAGTTGACTTTGGTTCAAACTTGAAGGAATTGGGTTATTGATTAAGGTCCCACCTTGGTTTGATACTAGTTGGTTCAATAAAGCAATCAATATAGGGAGTGAGTGTGTTGATTTGTTTGATTGGGTCTTCGATTCATGTGAGTTTTCTCGTTATATTACCTATTTCATAGTAGGGTGTATGCTAGACTAGGTGAGTCTTAGTATCTGATGGCTATTATGAGTATTTACCGAGTTGTTGATAACTCCATGACTGTTGATAGTCCCCAGGGTTGCTGATAGCATCCTAAAGTTATGGATAACCCATAGTTGTATATATTGACATAAGGATAATGGTACATTGGTTAGAGTACTAAGAGGTTAGTGATTGTCTAGTTAAATGCGTTAGGGGTTGTATGAAGTCATGTAGGATGGCCTGAGAACTCTTGATCTAGGCTTTCCTTGTATGTTCCTTGTTTGGTTGTGGCTCTAGAGTGGGATCACATGTTCGACTGTCTATCTCACCTCTGATTACATATGGTTATGCATTCAATATTGGTTTGTAACGGGTGATGTAGAGTAAGGTGTGAGGCCCAACATGTGGTAGTGAACTATTAGTCCAGTAGACTAGTGTAGGTGTTGCCTATGCTTTTGTTCTTATTTTGTTGATTGTTGTTATGTGTTACTGAGCTGCTGATAGCTCTAGGATATGGTGTTATGCCATTAGGAATGTTAATAGTTCCCAAGGTTGATGATAAACCACAGGGCGTGCTATTAGCCCACTGGGATTGATGATATTGTCCCCATGGTTATTGATAACCTACACGTCGTGATATTAGCCCATTAGGATTGCTGATAGTCCCTAGGGTTGCTGATAGCACTTAAAACATGTTGTTAGCCTACAGGTCGTTTTGTTAGCCGTTGGGATTGCTGATAGTCCCCAGGGCTGTTGATAACCCATAATTGTTTATTATACTGTGATGTATGTTATATTTTAGGGGATCTCTGTAACATCCCAAAAATACAAGCCAAAATTTTCATTTTTAAATACATCATTATAAAACCAAC